CTTGTATGATCCAACTATTCCACTCCTGGGTTTTAACCAAAGGACACAAAAACATGAATTCAAAAGAAGCACCTATACTTCACTATTTATTTCTGACTATTCACAATAGGTAAGCTATGGAAACAAATGAAAACATCAAAAATAGCTGATTGGATCAAGAAAATGTGGTAATATATGCCGACTGGAATATTACTCAGCAATCAAAACAATAAACTCATGTCATTCACAGTGATGTGGATGGAGCTGGAAGTGATTATGCTTAGTGAAATTAGCCAGAAAGAAAAAGAAAATTGTTGGGTGGTTTCTCTTATAGTAAGAATGTAGGGACCCAGATAAGGTATGGGGATATAATTATGACAAAGTAAAAATCAAAATTAACAGGCAACTATAAATCAGAAACATAATTTGGGGGAGAGGGAGAGGAAGAGATTGGATGAAAACATGGTGGGAAGAACACAGGAACTGTGGTGATGATGCACAATTGAATTGGTGGTGGGGATTCCTTGGGGACCATACACAAGATGATGAGCATCCATTGTATGAAAATGAAGAATAATGTAAATATATATGTATATGTGTGTGTGTATATATATATATGTATATATATATATATATATATATATGTAATCCATAAAACTAAAATTTCCAGATGTTCCTTTTACCCTAGTTCTGGGTATTTACCCCCAAAATACAAAATCTCTTGAAGTTTATTTCATGCCCATGTTTTTTGAAACACTATTTATAATAACCAAGAACTGTAAACAACCTAAGTGTCTATTGATTGATGAATGTATTGACTGATACATATATATGTACAATATATAATATGTATTATATATACAATATGTATTATATATACCATATAATTTTACCTATAATATATAGCACATATACGTGTGTGAATATATACATATATGTATTTATATATACAATATGTATTATATATACCATATAATTTTACCTATAATATATAGCACATATACGTGTGTGAATATATACATATATGTATTTATATATACAATATGTATTATATATACCATATAATTTTACATATAATATAGCACATATACGTGTGTGAATATATACATATATATGTATTATATATCATTAATATATATAGCATATATCATATTATCATATTTTATATATATATATAATATGATAGAAAAATGTAATTTACTACAATTGGTGTACATAGAGGAAATTAAACACAGTTTTATAAATCAGACTGAAAAAGGCAAACACCATATGATTCTAAAAATATGCAGTCTATAGATAAGTTAAAAAATTAAATGAAAAAAATAAACTCTTGAACTAGAAAATTGTTTAGGAGTTACAGGAGAGGGAGTGTGGTAGAGCGTGGGGAAATTGGGAAAAATTGGAAAATTGAATGGTGAAGGATGGATTTGAATTTTTAGTTGTGAACTTAATTTTGTATATACATGTTGATTTTTAATGATGGGCATATGAAACATATTGTCATAATTCAATGTTACTTGATTTAAAAGAAAAAAAAACAATTACTTGATTTAAAAGAAAATTCAAAAATCCATAAAAATCTCATATAATGCAGCAAAAAGAAAAAACACACTGCAAACAAACGAAAAAAAAAA